CCCCAAAACCCCAAAACCCCAAAACCCCAAAACCCCAAAACCCCAAAATGAAGCAGTCTTATTGAAATAATAACGAAGTTAGAAATATGGGCTGCTTGCAAGCAAAAGAGAAATCATTTAAAACAAATGTCTACAAGATGAAAGACTGTGTGAAGTGAGAATTTTTCATGATCGATTCAAACAACGAATACTTAGAAGGTACTTAAGCTTCTAGCTTTTTTAACATTAAGATCATTAGTCGAACGATCCTAGAAGTTAAATTGACTATAGGGCTTGAATTGAAAAAGCTGCAGTTAAGACAAAAGAAGGCTAAAACTTGTGGGCTTTGTTCAAAGAAAGCAGATAAACTCACATTAAATTCTTTGAATAATTCATCTAAGACTGGCTACTTGACCAGCGAGTCAATATTATTAAATACTTCATCTAAAACTTCGGAGGCTAGTTTAAGCTCCACCAGTGTGGATGATAAAGAACTTCTAGACTGTTCTCAATTTTGGAGAATATGAGGAATATCTGTTCATTCAGATGACTATATATCCGGGATCACCATACAATACTGTCTACCAGGTGGGCAGTTATTTACAAGAGTACACACCTTAACATCATCTTTAACCAAGAAATCAAAATCCGGAAACTTCGAAGATCTGAGCGTTGGAAAATTTAAGAATGAAACTCTGCTCTTAGAGTACCACGAATTTCTTACTAAAATAGTAATAAAAAGTGATCATCAAGGTATCACTTCGATCACCTTCGGAACAAATCTTAAACGGACTGTTTCAGTTAACGGCAGAAAGGACACCGACGAATGAGAAGAACTCTGACTAGACTTATCCAAAGAAAATAGGGTTCTTACTGGATTTCAGACGATGTATAGTTGAAACCTCACCGGGATTTATTGTTACACTTCCAAAATAACTATTTCTAAAATGGAGGATCTCGAGCAAGAACAGAATTCTTCGGTAGAAACCTTACCTAGCTCTTCTGACTCGATCAGGAGGCCCACAAAGGTTGTCCCAAGGTAAGTTCCGTTTCTTGGAGAATTCAATAGTAGAAATTCCAAAATTGCATGAAACCTTATAAAGAGTGCTGATTATAACATTTAGTTTTCTAAATGCATTTTTAGGCAAAATAAAAAATCAGTACTTCTAAAGACCAAAAACCTGCATGAAAAAGAGACTGTGGTAAAACAAGATTTAAACCGAGTAACCCATTTCCCTTCCCACATTTCCTCTCCCAAGTATATTTCCTAAACCTTCCCTCTAGATGAACCTGGCATGCTAAACCGTCCTATTATTATAACCAGTTTATTTAACCTTAATAATTATTACTATACATAATCTGGGGTTTTGGGGTTTTGGGGTTTTGGGGTTTTGGGG